CCATGTGGAAACGGCTGCATGAATGTGCGGGTCAGGCACAGGCCTGGATGAGGGCAGGCCAGCCGTGACAACGTCGACCATTGGACTGGCTGCTTCTGTGCCAGTGTTGGAACTGTGTTCAAGTTGCTATGACGCACCGCATGTTCTGTTTCCTTTCCAGTATTAGAGCGATGTTTTGAGTGTTTAGGACGTTCGGCATCCGCATGGGCTACATATGCTTTGGTCAGTGTCGTGCCTGGTTGAAACAAGCTGATTCATTGCAGATTCATGTTGTTTTTTCCAGTTTTCGAAAAGGCTGTGATGATGTTGTCTGCTTATTTTGTGCACAGGGCCTGAACTGCTCCAAGCTGCAGTTGATCCTAATGGGTCCACAGGTGGGTTTGATGATTGTGTTATTGAAGTGTGCAGCTTGAACCGCAATACTTCCTCTTAGAATCATTTTGCCCTTCTACAAGTCCAGGATCAGCCCACATTATACGAAATACAAATGGTTTGCAGTACCTCTGCAGTTAGATGTGCGTGTCCTGCACCGGTGGATGCCTCCCCTCCTGTCAACAACACTGACATGCCTTCCACTTGCGTATGGAAACATGAAATGCTGAAGGAATGTCATGCTGCAAATAGGGGAGGATACAGCACTTAGCATACAGACAGGGCAACCGTTCTTCCATTAAGCAAGTGATTTTCCATGTGATGTACATATTGAAGGTTTGCCAGGAGCAAATGGAGATGCTATGTGCTTTGGTGTGGTAAACTGCACATAATCTCAACAACAACGACAACAACTATACAAGACAACAACACCAAAAAGTGCCATAGCATGGAGACATGTTGCTTGGGCTATTGCGAGCAGACCCAGGATAATGAACACCCATTTGGGATGCAATCAGGAAGTCAGTGATTTATTATGCTAGAAGCCATAGGCACGGGGGTTCTGACAAGGAAAACCGATGGACACAGGGCTCGGCAGTCCTGAAGATTTGGATTCTGCTGAGCAGAAATTGATTGGCAGAAAAGCCAGGAAGACTGCACCACATCTTCTTCCTGCGTGCTTGCACTTTGGCCCCGCTCCACCAGTGTTGCAGTTTTTTGTTCCTTGGTTGTCATGTGACTTCTCGCTGCAGCACAGTGCCCTTGTACCTTGGAAAATAACTGGACAGGTACAAAAGGCAGTGAAAATAGCCAAATGTGAGATGACTGTTTTGGGAACCCTGGTCTGAATTGTGGTTTTTGTTTCCGCATCAGTTGGGGCACAGTGTCAATGCAATCGCCTCAACAGGGGAGCTTGTATTTTGTGCCTGTGGATCCAACATTGAGGTCGTCAAGCGACTGCACAGGTACGCAGGGCTTTCCTTACGGATGTGAACTGTACATCAAACAGCAAGGGCCTGAAGTGTGACAGATGTTTGTCTCATCATCGGGGGTTGAGCACAATCTATGCAACATTTTCTTGTGTGTGCCGATCTTTGGTTGATCGTTGTCTTTGAATTGTGGTGCCATGATTAGGATCGGCACCTGCCGGAGTCAAGGTGGCAAAATTATTCAGCTACTGGCTCTTGGTGAGATGGTGCTGAGCCTGGCTTCTGGGAGCAGCCTGACTGTGTGGAGAATTGACAAGCTTGATGAGCCACAGGTGCTGTCCAGCATCAAACTCATGCGTCCCACTTGTTGCCAATGTTGTATCGGATTTTTTTGACATGTTTTTGGAATGTTAGAATTTTGTGACCTGTGATGTGTTTGTGCGGCTTGCACACTGTTACAGAATTTCTGAATTCAGGCGGTACCCAGGGCAAGTTGACATTCTGGGTCTAACAGGAGGTGTTTTCATCAATAATAAAACTGCCTTGCAAGCAGCTGTTGTGAATGCCACAGCGCTATTGTTTCCAGCTGAGATGCTACCTCAAAGTACCGGTGCCCTACTATTGAACCTACAGCTGAGTTTTTTTGTGAACATTTTTGTTCCTATGCTTAGACATGACACAACATGACAGAAAGCAGTGGTAGATACCCTTGCTGCACACTTCCCTTTTTCCATTATCTTGTCAGCAATTGTTGAGCGTTTCCTTGCTTGTTTTTGCATTTCGTTCTGTGCTGTGCAGTAGGATGGTATGTGGGAGAACTACCTGGGAATTTGACCGAAAATTGATGGGATGGTTTGTGCCAGTTATCTTGCGGTGTGGATGCGATCTTTCTCTATTAATGTTAGTAATAAATGCATTTTTGACAAATTGAATCCATGCATTTGCTGAAATGTTTATGGAAACATGATGGTTGCTACTCTTTAACCTTCATGGGCATGCACTGGCAGCAAACACTTCAGTGTCGGTTTCACCAAAGTGCACCAATGACTGATATGGCTCCTTGCTCTTCCAGAGAATGATCTCTCTCCAAAACGACTTCACCCCAACTTGCATGGTCCATCCTGACACGTACATAAACAAGGTGGTAATCGCCAGCGAGGAGGGTCGCCTTCAAGTGTGGAACTTCAGCACTGGAAAGATGGTGTTTGAGAGTTCAGGCTGGTGAGTGCTACATGGCATCTCTTTTTCTTGCCTTCCCATTTTGCCTTGCCGATTCTTTCTGTCCCTGCGGCAGACAAGGGCACTTGGCGCCCAATTTTTCATATACGGGTTTGGACTGTCAAGTTCTTGGTCGTTGCCCTGGTGGTGTGCTGCATGTCCACACTATAGCGTAAAATTGCATGGGATTCATGACGTCTACAATGTTGACATTTTGGAAAACACCGTCTGAATTTTATAAAATTTTGAGCCCACATTATTATTAATTTTGTTTTGACTTATTGGATGGGCCGGAGCCTCGTGAGTGCTCCAGCCTCTCCATTTCCCTGGATGCTCGCAGGAGGGTAAGATAATCACCACCCAGTTGAGCCATTTTGCTAATTTTGCTGGGCCACTTGCCTACTAATTTGCTCCTAGTATGCACTGTCAGGAGTGGTTGGTTAGGATGTGCCAGGCAAAGAAAACAAAGTCTCAACAGTGTGGCCACTTGCAGTGTTGACTGGCTCCACTACTGTGTTGCTCCCAAGCTTGGCATGACGACACATCATCTGCCTGCAGCTGAGATTGACCAAATGGTGTTCATATCACCGGCTTCTCCGTGCCACACCACGTGTAACCCCTCTCTTGGCACTATAGTACCTTTTGTGCAGGTTTTCTTGCAGTATATTGTTGGAGAGAATGGGGCAGCGCACATGTGCTTAGAACTATTTGGCTTCAGTTCTGATGATTTTGACCAGCAGCTTTGCTATTTCTGAGCATTGTGAGGCCATTTGTGGGTTGCAATTGTCCAGACGAGTTGAGTTCAGTAGAGACACATGACAACACCAATGTGTCATATTTTCACACTGCCTTTGCAAATGCATTCGTTCATTCTGACCAGGTGCTCCTCTGTCAGACTATGATCCCAGAAGCAGGCAAGATCCCAATTGAGATGGAAGTTTGAAACAGAATAAATTTGTTCAATTCTGTGTTGGCCACTATGCAGGAGGGCAATTCTGTACAATGTTCGATATGACAAGGTTATCCATTCCTTCGACAATGCGTCTGGTGCTGGGATGAATTACAATGGTGGCCTGGGTGCATGCCTGAATGCTGATGCCAAGACACCTGGTGCTGCATGCACTGCAATCGCCTTCAGCACGGGTGAGAAGCTATGCGGTGGACATGAACCTGCCCAAGTGCATGCTGCTTGTGTCATTGCGTGTTTGCTTTTTGCTTGCTGTGCAAATCCCTGTTGACTGCATTACCAGACTGTGGTGGACAGCTACTTGCCTATCATTTATAAGATGCGATACTTGCATCTGTGCTGTAATTCATCGTGTCAACAAGGAAGAGTAACTAGTTGCCATGTTATACCTCTGCATGGTTGCCAAGGACGAATCTAGGGCAGTTTGTGAACAACACAAGCAGGCCACAGATTCCATCACTGTGTCAAACTCCAAACTTCCTACAGTTCCAACTGTAAGGAAATTGTCAAAGACATTGGTACAACATTGGGTGCTATGCAGACACCATGGCTTCAGAAACTTGATGGTGGAATGGGCAGAAGGAATGTTGAGATTACTGGCAGCATGTTAAAAGTTGCCTCGAAAGTGCCCCAGTGTCTCATTCCTTCAAGATCATGTAAAAGTTCATTTGCTTGCAGATTTCTACCTGACAGAGAGGGCCAGCCTATAATCTTGCCATTGGCAGTTGAAGCTTAGCTTTAGTTTTTCTGTCTGCTCATTTGCCAAACACTGTGCAAGTACTGAGAAGGCATTGTTGGGCTGCTATTATCCAAACGCAATTGACAATAGCGTCTCTACAGTACTGACGGCTGTGCCATGAATATTATATATTTGCAGCAGCATCGTGCTGTTCTGTGTTCCCAGATTCTGTTTCCTGAAGCTTGCTACCAGGCACCACTGAGTACTGTTGGTTGGTTGCTGGCAGGTATCGGGGTGCCTGTTATGGCTGTTGGAGGGGCTTCTGGTGTTATCACAGTTTGGCATCTTGAAGACAAGACACTGAGCACTGTGATCCATGCAGCTCACGATGGCCCTGTGGTGAGTTCAAATCAGCCTTCTGCTTTTCACAATTCTGCAGTAACAGCTGGAGGGCCATGCACAATGGTGCACTGGGACAATCTGCGCGCTGGTGGAACAACAAGACAGGCAGCAGCTTGGTGTGGTAGTCTTTGTCAGCAGTCATGAGCGCTTTGCTTGTGGCAGCCTGGAACCAAAGCCCGGACAACTAAAGAAGAAGAGGCAGTTCGGGCAAGGATTTTACAGCATCAATATGACACCAGGAAGGTGGCGGAATGGCAAGTAACATATGCTGTGACTCTTCCCAACAGCACAGCCACCCTTGTGGACTGGTCTGAAAATTTGGGGCTATGTGATTAGTTTAGGAAATCATGTTGGGAGCACACGTGCTGCCCTTTCATAGGTGCCTGAGCATCATTTGGGAGTGCCGGATATGGTAAGTTCCAGAGCACTGTTTTCCAACATGGGCTAGTGCAGTCAAAAGTACTGCAACTTGCAAATGGAAAATGTTCTTGCACGGTACAAACAACATGCTGATGGGTTCGCAAACGCGACCTGTATCGGGTTGGACATTGTCAGAAGGTGTTTTTGGAAGCAGCCCTGGCAACCAACATAGGTGATAATTTGTTCCCAGCTCTGCGAAGGTGTACAGACTAATCCTCTCTGTCCCTGGAATGCTGCATGCTTTTGCTTTTGATGGCCACGGGACTCTCACATTCATAATTAGGATATCTGAGTGACATGCAGTTGATGTTGTTGTCCGTTGATGAGAACGTAATTCTTTCTGATGAAGATTGTAATCTATCCAGCAGTTGATGAAACCTAAACCCCATACAACATAAAAATAATGTACTGAAGTGCCTGCACACTTTCAGCAAGAGGACCGAAGTACTACCTCAAATTCTTGGCAGGTGGCCTTGTGAACTTTCTCACAATTGTATCAATCTACTATGGGCATCCATGGTTGAACAGGTTTGCATCCAGAATTCAGTGTGTAAAGTGCAGGGAGTAAAGCAGTATATGGTGCTGACACCATGAATGTGTCCATGTCAGCAATGGAGTTTGTACAGTTGGTCAGCACCATTGCACCTTTGACGATTTCCGGTGCTTGTGCCCTCTCGTGCGTTCCATCGCAGGTGAGCCTGTTCTTCTTTCCTGCAACTCCCATACTGATGAGCTCATCGGCAGACAACTCCATCAAACAGTGGATCTTTGACAATGTTGATGGCTCAGCAAGGCTCCTCAAATATCGGTGTGGCCACAGAGCACCGCCGAATTGCATCAAGTTTTATGGACAGGTGTGGAAATCTGTGGAGTTAGTCGGCTCACAGAGGCTTGTTCTGGTAATGTGGGGATCAGTTCAATGAGTATGATCTCTGAGCATAGTGAGCATGAGTTGTAGTTAGCTTGCCTACTGGGTTCCATTTCTTCAGCCATATTAGAAGGCCTCTTAACTGAATCTACCAGAACTGTCAACACAGGAAATGGTGCTAGAGTATACTTCACTCAAGTATATCGCTCACCCAGACTTTTTGAATACCCAGTCTTCCAGGGTGGCTAGATTTGGGTTCAGGGCACAGTAGCTACTGAAAGACGGGCGAGCATATGGATGGCGAACGCGTCACTGCACACTTGTTTTGCACCAGGCACGTTGCAAAGCTGCTACATAATCTTTTCACACGTGCAAATGTGCACAAGACAATTTTAATGTGTTCCTTGGCTTTGGTTACGTGCTGCATGGTGTAACTGTACTGAATTTGTTGTTTGCAAGAGTTCATCTTCCATAGTTGCTGTTGGGCTTGTCATCTATCCTGTGCAGCAGGATCATGAACCACAGTGTTGTTGGCCCACTATGCTTGTTCCCAGTAGGCTGACGGTTGGCCATGACAAAAATGCTAGATATGGCTGATGCATAATCAATGGTGAAGCTGTCGGTGCTCTTTGCTTACCATCCTTGTTACCATTCTGTTTTCAGGGGTACAGGGTTCTGTCTTGTGGGCAAGATCGAGCTTTCTGGATGTTCTCAACAAATCAGGCGCAGCAGAGCCGAGAACTGTCCCAAGGCCACACAGCTCGCAAGGCCAAGAAGAGGAAGGTGCATGAGGAGCAAGTCAAACTGAGCAGAGTGACCCATCTAGATGCATGTGAGGTGAGCACCACAGCTTTTGTTATTTCCCAACCAATCAAACTCGTTGAAGCATCCGGGTGCCAGAACAAGCATGTAGCCTGAAGGGATGTGATGTGTCCACATCGAAGGCCGGAATATGTGGCCTGCTTTGTTCTCCACTTGAGTTGTGCTACATTTTTGAGGCCATTTGCTCGGAAATAAGCCCAACATCACCTACAAGGATTTGAGCATTTGAGGCGGATTCCCTGTGGTTCAGGTCCGTGAGCGCGACTGGGCTAATGGAATCACAGCACACGAAGGGGACTGGAGGGCATACACCTGGAGGCTGAAGGACTTCACTATAGGTGAACATGCCCTGGAGCCCCCTTCCAGGCATGGTGGGAGGAGTTTGAGGCCATCCCCTGTGACGTGTGTGCATTTGAGTGAATGCGGCAATTTTGGCTTTGTTGGGAGTGCGAACGGGAGGCTGCACAGATTCAATATGCAGTCAGGGCTGCATCGAGGGGAGTACAAACGACGGAAGGATGATGCAGGTGGGGTGACTTGTGTGCTATGAGAAACTGTACCTTTGCAAGGAGGTATGATACGTGTGGTGTATTGACAAGGCGAAATTGATGACAGTGAAGTACACTGGATGGCTTGAGAGTGAACTGCTGTGTTTTCTGTAGCGCGTGGTTGGCACCAAGGGCATCGTCCAAGCCATCCTTTGTGGTATGTCTCCTGTGCCGGGGTGCAGCTGTGGACGAGAATGTGCCAAGCCTGCACCAGCATTGCCCGCTCTTACAAACACAATCCGAGGCTGCAACAGCAGGCTTGCAACGCGTGGGCTCTTGCTGTGCCAGAGTGCATCCAGTCTTGAATGCATTTATTGAAAACTGTGCTTTTGAGAATTTTTTCATGTTGCTTTCATCAAACCCCACCACTGACTTGCTTGACTGTGCAAGATTGGGCTTTGCGTTGAAGAAAGCATGCCGATCTCAGTGCCAACCCTTCTACTGCGTTTCTTTTTTCAAGCCAAGTGCTATACTGAGGGTAACTGGGAAATTGTCAAACTTTAGGCAGTTTGCAGTACACCGGGGAGGTCAGCAGAATGCACGAATTTGTCTCTTGCATGTGCAGTTTGCAGCTCATGTGCCTTCCAGAGTTGATTGTTGTGTCCCATGGGAGAGATTGTCAAAATCCGTCTCACTGCAAATTGCCTCGGTTGCTTGCATTTCGACCGGTCAGATGATGCAATTGTGCGCAAGCATTGTGTGGCCAAGCACTGCGCTGGAACCAGTGCCTTTGATGAGTGCCCACGTGGCCTTACATACAAGCAGCCAATGGCCAGAGTGATCAACACAGTTGGCAGGATATGAACAAAACTTCAGTGCTGCATGCCCGTGGACACGCCCACCTTAGACTGTCGCCTGGCGTGATATGCTAGCTTGCAGTCTAGGAGAGCCCGTGTGAGACCATGAGATGGATGTGATTGCTGCCTGCCCGAAGGTTTGCCTGCGCACGATGGAGCAGTCACGGGCGTGGCAACTGACAGCTGCAACCGAAGCGTCGTCTCAACCAGCTACGACGGCTGGCTCAGGATCTGGAGCTTCCCGTCACAGGTGCTGCGAGCACAGGTCCACACAGGCTGCCCTGTCTCGCATCTTCTGCTCCATCCAGGGACCTCCATGTGCCCCCTGGTTGGCGACGACCTCACCATACGGGTTTACGATGCAGAGGCTGCCAGGCTGGTCAGGAAGTTTAGAGGGCACACGGATCGCATCACGGCGCTAGAGATGAGCTCTGATGGGCGGTGGCTGCTCAGCGCGGCGATGGATGGGAGTGTGAGAGTGTGGGATGTGCCTGCTGGCCAAGTTCTGCAGGTGGGGATGAGATTCGTGGTGCTGTGGCCAACAGCAAGCTGCCGCAATTGTGCTGATTCTAAGAACCAAGAATTGTCAGTGGACAGCAGTTGAAATACCAGTACCTCAATATACGAATGCTAAATACACACAAAGTACTGGTTGTCTATAATAGCTTCTTCAAAGCACTAAAGTAGTATATGATGATAGTACTAGATAAAATGGCAGTTGGTCTGAGAGCAGTATGCACTTCTTGAATTTAGCCAATGCCTCAATGGCACATGTCCATCGCATTGTCAGAGTTGGCGACTGATATCATGTGTATTGCCTACGGAGCACAACAGACATCTGTGTCTTTCTCTCAGGATCGAATTTCCCTTTCACTGCACTGTTCAGATTTGCATGCTTCTTTTTGCCTTTGCAGGTCATGCAGCTTGGGTCTGCGGTCACGTCCCTGAGTCTCTCCCCGGCAATGGACATTCTTGCCACGACGCATGTGAATCGGCGGGGCATTTACCTGTGGTCCAATCAACTCGTTTTCGGCACAGGAGCATCTGTGGTCCCCTCTGAAGAGCCCATCGACGTCCTGCTTCCCGCCTCGTTTGCTGGGGAAGGGAATGTGCAGCCTGATGACCTTCCGACTGTTGAGGGGCATCGCCTGGAGGTGTGTTGATGGTTTTATTGATCTCGAACAGGACTGGCCATGGAACTTGGGCATGGATGGCTGTCCTTTTGCGCTCCTTGCACATGGATGCGAATTTGAAATAATCTGTGTTCAATGTAACCCTCCACACTGCAACACCCCTTCCAATTAGCAGCACCTGGTTTGCTGGCATTGCTCTCAACTTTGGTAACTAATTCAGTATCCTAGATAATAAATAGGATATGGGAGGCCCGATATTTGGGGCATTGACTAGGGTATGAGCACCACACCATGAATATGCATATCCAGGATATGGCCTTATCCTGGATATGGACGCTCATGTCTTTGGAGTTACAATGGATAATGGCGAAGATAAGGGTATATCCTGAGACCTATGTACCCGTTTCCCAGGATACACCATGTCCTGGATATGCATATTCAGGATATGGCAATGTCCTGGATATGCACACCCAGGATATGTAGCCTCTCCGATGAAAGCTCACTACTGCCAACTGTGACAGAGTGTGCTTTACCCAGTGCTCACTTTTCTACTTGGTACCAAAAGCTACCACTGTTTCTTCCGCTCCTGTAGGGACCTGGCACACCTGACAAGCCAAGGATCCTTTCTGCCTCTAGCCAGCGGGCTTGTCACCCTGTCGATGCTGCCACGCTCGAAGTGGCACGACCTGGCGCACCTGGACGTGATACAGGCGAGGAACAAGCCCATCCAGCCACCCGAGAAGCCGGAGGCCGCTCCCTTCTTCCTTCCCTCCCTTGCGGGGTCATCCAGCAATCCAATATTTGATCTCTCTGGCGCACAAGGCGCTGGGAGCGATGAGGGGGCCAACACGGATGACGGGGAGGGTATCGGGGCTGGATCCAGGCTCCTCCGCGGGGCTCATGCGGCTGTCCCCGAGTGGGTGAAGCTGCTGAGGGTGAGCATGCATTTCGAGTGGCGCGCTGTGCACTGTGATGCTCATTTTGCACGTTTGTGAGGGTAGTCCAGTTTTGGCATTGCAGAATATTACATTACATTTGGGAATGTATTAAATAACAGCGGTAACCATGTTAATTGGTTTCTCGCTAGCTTGCTAGTCGTTTGTGTTTGGTGTTTCTTGTGCTTGTATTGGACACCGGCTGTGTCCTGTTGAAGCACCGATGGCGGCGTGGCCGAGTGTGTGGCCCTGGATATGGTGCACATCCAGCACTGATATCAAAATGATACATTTGAATTGAGCGGTTGCCTTTTTCGTCCTCTGTGACTCAGTGTGGGCGCGCTTCGTGCTGCTGCTGGTGCTATGCAAATTTGGCATAGTCAATGGTTTGTCGCCGCATGTCCTAATACGTCTGGACATACCTGTAGCATAGTACATGGTGAAGTTGTGTCGAATTCATGCCAGGGAAGGGGATCCCTGTAAATTGATATGTTTCATTGCTTAAAGGAACCTACGAGGCGTGTTTTGCATGCTGAGAGGTGTTTTATCTGAAGCTCGATGGTCATGCAGGATTGCGCTTTGCGAAAGGATTGCTCGACGTTCCTAGAATACATGCGGGAGCAGTCCCCGGCTTCGATCGACAGGGAGATTCGCTCTCTGGAGGTGTTGCCAGCGGGGGAGCCCGAGGGAGGGGGCAGTGAGACCGGCAACAACGCGGCGCCACAGGAGGTTGCTGACCTGAAGCTGCTGCTGGAGTTTCTTGGCAGGCAGATTGAGTCGAGAGAAAATTTTGAGTTTATGCAGGTCTGTTGTTTCGCCCGAGGAGAGCGAACACAACGCAAGTTCAACCCCTCCTCTTTGGCTGGCCTCACCCGATTGGACAAATGTAATCGACGAGTGACATATACGACTGTGATCAGACGTGTTCAACGGTGAATGAGGCGCCCGTTGCCCTGAGCCCATTGCGTTGTCACTTCTACAGTCATGCCTCTCGGGTCACACATCGATTGCGCTCGTGCTCCTTGAGCCGCGCCGCGTTTTGCTCGTGACGAAAGAATGCTGGATGGACTGATGCGCTGCGGTGTCACATCTAAAGGCAAGCGCTGTTCCGAGCTGTTTGGTTGTCTGTTTCTCATTGCCACAGACGCCGTGACCGTTGATTTGTTGATGAATCATTGATGGACGGCTTGATGGCGCAGGCGGTTCTGAAACTGGTGCTGGACGTTCATGGCGATGCGATCATGGCGTGGCCGGCGCTGCAATCGGAGGCTGTGCGAGTGAAGGAGCAGTTAGTGGCCTCCTGGGGGAGGATGGAGGATCTCATGCTGAGCGTCGGATGCATGGTGGGCTATTTCAGCTCATTGCAGGGCTGAAATCCAGACTGGTAATTGGGTGCTCTCCAAAGCGAGCTGCGGCAGCGTCCTTTCTCTTCTTCGAATATCTTTTGACTTGCAAGCTCTTTCATTGTTTTTCATTGTTTTTTAATTGGTTGCTATTTAAACTGTGATTCTATGCCTCGTGTGGCAGCCTGCAACATTCGCAGCCAACTAGCGGGCATGGGACGGGACCTGCTACGACTGGGTCTATGGTCTGGGTGCTACGGGTGCTACGGGCGTCCAGTCGGGTGCTACGGTCGTGCTACGGTCGTACAGTCTCACTACTGGGTGCTACGGTCTGAGCATCAGCTCAAGACGAGCGATGATGCAAGTGCCATCACAGACTCATCTCTTGGTCACCCTCTGTTAGAAACTACGAAAAATAGCGCCTGCTTGCAATATTGCCTAAAATTGACCGTCATCAACATTGAAGAACGTGCCTGGGTCATTTTGTCAACTTCAGGCGAATGAAAAGTATTCGAAATCATGCCAAAATCATGGAACACCCATCGAAATGGGGATTTTAAACATGTGCAGGCCATCTCAGCATATCAGTTTCTTTTTTCCTCCACACTGTGCCTTAAGAGCAGCAACAAACAGCGACATTCGCACACCAAACTGATGTATGTGTACGCCTACCCTACCTTGTTCAATGATGTACAATCTCATCTTAACTACAACCAACACAGGCAACGGGGCCCACCACTTTGCGATTTGTGATTGCAACGCTCCTCAGGCATCCTGCGCCCTAAAACTGAAGCCTCGGCACTATGCACATGGACATGAGCTCCTGGAATAGCAGCTTGCACGCGTAAGGCAGGAACACCTGCACCACGTTGGAGTCGTTGCCGTATATCTGGCTGTAGAAATGGTTCTTCCGCAGGTTGGCCACCGCGATCAGGCCCGACTTCTCGCACACGTGCACCCTGTAGGCATCCGACTGGTCGAACAGCCTCTCCTTCAGGAATGCCGCGGAGCCATGGCTGATGATGCAGTCCCTCTCCATCTCGCCGAACCTCAGGCCGCCCTCCCGCGCCCGGCCTTCCACGGGCTGCCGCGTGAGGATCTGGACGGGGCCCCTGCCGCGGGAGTGGATCTTGTCGTCCACCATGTGCTTGAGGCGCTGGTAGTACGTGGGACCCAGGAAAATCTGCGCCTGCAGGCGCCTGCCCGTGTGGCCGTTGTACATGACCTCCCAGCCGCGGGACTGGTAGCCGCACTGGTGCAGCTTGTTGGAGATGTTCTCCACGGTGACGTCCGTGAAGGGCGTGGCGTCGCCCTCCTGGAAGCGGCACGCCAATTGATTGACAAGAATTCCGTCCATTAATTGGTCAATCAATCCATCGATCAGCCTTTCATTTCATCCATGAATGTATTTTCCAGACGATAGGTGCATTAATCCACCAATCAATCCAATGCAAATCAATGCATCCAGTACTCAACTGAGGTTCTGACTACCTGATGCTTCAGCAACCGATCTCACGGCGCCCGATCGAATGGGCATTGATTGTACTCCACAATCGCTGCTTGTGTGCAAAGGGTCATAACAACTTGTGAAACATGACCTGAAGGAAGAGCCACACATACAAAGTTCGAAAATGGATAGCACACAGGCACTATTGGTATTTTCGGCCACTCACAAGTACCTGGCCCACACATGCAGCAACTTTGCTCATCAGGCACTCCACCAAGTGACCAATCGTCATGCGCGATGGGATCGCGTGGGGGTTGATGATGAGGTCGGGCGTGATGCCCTCCTGGCTCCAGGGCATGTCCTCTTCAGTGTAGGTGATGCCTATGGTGCCCTTCTGCCCATGCCGGCTCGCAAACTTGTCACCAACTTGGGGAATCCGGATGGACCGCACTCGCAGTTTCACAAATTTGCGACCCTCAGCATTGGTGCTGACAAGCACCTGTGCAGCAGAAACGAACTTTAGCAGGCTTCAACAGCCTCTATTTATGAAGCACTGCAATCAGAGCACTTCAGATTTATTTGTGTTACAATTCACCGCATACTGCCACTGTCATGTCGGATTTCGTTCGCCCTCCCCCTTGGCCCAATAGCCTTGATCCTGCAAGGGTTTGCAAGATTTGAGCAATGATTGCGACAACTGTAGCAAGGATGCACTGACGTCAGACAATCCATTGGTCAACCAGAGTGCCCATCTATCCACTGTGGGCTTCAATGCTGAGGCCGGTGGTTGTTTGCATTCAACTTTACTCCTGGAGAAAACAGCACTGGATGCATCGTTTTTGTTGTGCAGCTGTGCGGAGACATGCAACTTGTGCAATTCCACATCGACATCCATTCATTTACCAATCAATCAGCATCTGGAATAATCAGACACTTCAGCGACACAATGGACAGACCTGGTCCACAACGCCACTCTCACTCTGCCGCAGTGAGGTACTGCAGTCCTTCTTTGTGAACCTCGAGTTGTTGACCTCGTCCAGCGGCAAGCGTGTGGTCTTGCCAACAATGACGTCCTTCCCGTGCACGTTGGTCCCAGGCGCCACCAGCCCGTCGTCCTCCAGCTTATCGTATGTTAGATGCCTCATCCCCGCTGTGCAGCTTGGATCTGGCTTCTCGATCTCCTCGTTTAGTAGGGACCCCTGTTTCTTCTCCTCATCCTTGTACGATCTGCAGAAGAACAACAAAATCTATGTTTGGGGGGATTGTTCTGGGGATACACACACTGCCACTTACTCCTGGGGAGGAACAGCAGCGAGGCCAAGTTGCAGGATGGACTGGCACCAACATTGCGCCTGGCCTCATCCTGGGGCAAAACTCTTGTGCTTTGGATTTCTCATTTCCTCTTACTTCTGTTCTCCACTCTTTTCCATTTTGCTGCTTACTTCCTGTATCTGGGTAGTGCGTGCACTACATGGTGTTCACCACAGGAACACAATGGGCAGCCTTCCTCTTGAGCAAGATCTGTGAGACTCACCTGAAGAAGATCGATCGGAAGAACCCACGATCGATGGAGGACTGGTTCATCATTATCGAGTCCTCCTGGTTGTACCCAGAGTAGCAGGCGATCGCAACGATCGCATTGTGCCCCGCAGGCATCTCGCGGAAGTGCAGATACTGCATCGCCTTGGTCGCCACCAGGGGCTTCTGGGGGTAGTACAGCACGTACCCCTGAGTGTCCATCCGTGTCTGAAAGTTGGTGGCATACATCCCCATCGCCTGCTTGCCCATGGCACTCTGGTAGGTGTTCCTCGGGGACTGGTTGTGATCAGGGAAGGGGATGATCGATGCACAGACTCCCAGGATCATTGATGGGTGGATCTCGCAGTGTGTATAAGTGTCTGAGTACGCCATCTGTGGGGCCTTGATGAGGCGGGCAACCTTGAGGTCTCGAATGGTCATGGCGATCATCGTCGTCTCCTCCTCTTCTGTGTCGATGTACTCAATAAAGCCAGAGTTGACGATCTGATTCCAGCCATATCTGTGGGAAGAATGGCGTGTGGATTAACAGGGTGGAATGAACTGTGCAAGGCTGTGCAAACACTATGCAAGAGATAAGGCTGTGCAAACTCTATGCAAGAGATATGCGAAGGATCAACAAGATGGGCAAACCTGGCGCAGTGTTGTGTCATAGATTTCCAATGCCACAACTTGACAGGCACTGCACCACAGGTGCAGATGCTTCCCTGAAATCTTGCAAGTGCCAGTGCGAAAAATCCTGCCATCACACACGCACCGCTGCTCTGGCTCGACGTCCACCAGATCTTTGGCCTTCAGCAGCTCGATAACATGGCTCTTCTTGATGTTCAGTCTCTGGTTCTCCACAACAAACAGGGGTCGGCAAGTGCGCCCGGCGTCCGTATACACTCGAATCTCCTGCAACTGGATGTCATGCACCACACTGACCTCTGCCTCCACATTTAAACCCCTGCGCATCTGCCTCAGGGTCTCCACCAGATTCTGTGGCTCACGATTGATCCCTATCCACACCCCATTCACCAGCACCTTTGTAGCACCCTTCAAGTGGGCAGAGTTCACCTCCTCCAGGTTTTCTGTGCCCCAGCCCTCGAGCACTTCAAGCACGGAGCTCAGGGGGGACCCGACAGAAATGTAGGTCATCAGCGCCAGATTCTTCACCAGCCCACAGGCCTGCCCCTCGGGCGTCTCAGCCGGGCACAGCATGCCCCACTGGCTGTTGTGCAGCTGGCGCGGCTTCGCCAGCTTGCCCTCCCGCCCGATCGGTGAGTTCACTCTGCGGAGGTGGGACAGCGTCGCCGCATATGTCAGCCTCTGGAGCACCTGCAGCAGGAACCAACCATACGATTACTCTTGCCAGAACTCAGCACAGCAGTTGTGGGTACACCTTCAACGCGATGGCAGTCATGTTTTCAAATGAATCCCTTGTTCATTAAAGCCACAATCGATCCGCAGTATGTACGACGTTTGCCAAAGACCCCCCAAGTCCACTGTAGTATAACTGCACACATGTACCACATCTTCATATTCTTTGTTTCTACCACAAGGGCCGGCAGTCCCCTATTCACCTGGGACACTCCTGACCGGATGTTTTGCGTCCCCTGCTGGCCCCAGTTCCCTGTGGCCAGAGAATACTTCAGCCCGCTGCTGATGATGTGGTGGTTGGCGATGTCCGCCAGGTTGATCTCCCGTCCCTGATCCACGCACCGCTGCACCTTCCTCCTCATGTCCTTGGTCAACCGCCTGAACTGCAGCCGGAACAGGTTGGCCAGCAGGGGCCCCGCCAGGTCCAAACGCTTGTTTGAGTAGTGGTCACGGTCGTCCTCCGGCCTCCTGGCTAGGGCCACCAACAGCAGCTTGTAGATCATGTATCCAAAGAAATACCCCTTCTTCGTAGCATCCTTTTCCAACGAATCAGTACCAATGTGGGGAAGCATGTGTTTCTCAAGCAGCTCACGAGCATAGGTAATACGCTTCTCACGGGTGACCCCCACAGCAGCCCCTCGCTTGCCGATGAAGTCCAGCGCCACCTGCAGAGTGATGGGCAGGGAAAGTGAGCAAAAATTTTTTGGTTCTTTCTGCACCTGTCAACGTCTGCAATGTACAGGGGCTTTGTTGTACTATTCCCACAACTTTAATCCTCAAAATCTACAGACCTGCTGATCTTTGATGGGCTCCGCCTCCTCTATGGATGGCCGCAGTGCCTCCATCAGCTCGGTGTCCTCAAAATCAAAGATGATGTGCTCCAGGATGTCCTTGTCTGCGACAAAGCCCAGCGCTCGGAAGACCACCAGGATTGGGACATCCGTGCTGACATAGGGCAGAGTAGCCTTGATGGGCGCACCAGACAATGCGGCTTTTTTCCCCTGCCTGAACACCAGAGACCCTCAGCACTGGCACATTTGAGGGCTGTCCTTGGTTTTCTCGGCTACCATTCTCCCATGCACTAATGGAAAGTGTGTGGAGCTACCACTTGCCACTGGTGAAACGTTGCTCGGACGCTGTGCCTGTCATCCCCTACAAGACGCAAGGACTTCCCTTTGCTGTGTTTTCTGACAAGTGTAGTCAACTGATGCACTGAACCAAAACTCATTGAAGTGCTGGATGACACTGCGAATGATGTCTATACAGGGTACTGGGTACAAAGGCAGCTGATACATCAATCAACTCAAGTTGGATTCGTTGTAAAAGAAAACAGGAACATGCCATACAGTACTGCAAAGATGAAGTAGAGCCAATGATCGCATGAGGGAACACACAACACAAAAGGAAATTAACAATCATATCAACTCTCACCCCACGTCTGTCCTGTGACAAGGTCGTGTTACTGTCAAACGGGCGATTTTGGTGGTATGTTCAGGATGCATGCAGTAGGGCAGCTTGCAACTCCTAACTGTCTCTACACTTCGCCCCAAAATGACGGAACTCTGCCTGCTCACAAGCCACGCGATGTTGGGCGCCTTTCACAAGCGCAAGCGCTGACATTCAGTCTGCAATTTCTGCCCACCTGGACAGCAGCTGAACGGACATGGTGCTGGTGCTGCGCGTGGACTTCTCTGCCACCGATCGGCACTCGGCGATGCAGGAATACTTGGAGGGCTGGGATTTCTTGAAGACATACACGTGGTTGTTGGCCATGCGCTCCTGTGCGATGAGCACCTTCTCACTGCCATTGATCACAAAGTAGCCACCCTGGTCATAGGGGCATTCTCCCAGCTCAGCGAGCTCAGCAGGTTTGTAGCCGTCCAGGCTGCAACACGTTGACTTCAGCATGATGGGCACCTCCCCAATATACACCTTTTCTGCAACTTCCTCGTTTTCCTCGACTTGGGTGTCGTCCGGCAGCATGGTCACCTCCACTTTTCGAATGTCCACGTAGATGGGGGCACAGTAGGTCAGGTTCCTCAGCCTGGCTTCCCTGGGAAAAAGGACGGTGGACTCGCCATCGGCCTCGTTGAAGCTGGGTTTGGCCGAGTAGATCTGCCCAAACTGGATCCTGCACAAGGGGCCATGTTGTTCATTGTCAGGCCCACGCAATTCGTAGGGACTGGGTCTGCCCCACATGCAGCGTGGCTTTTTTCGGACGGCAATACTGAGAGCAACTCGTTTTCAGTGGATAATCTCCATTTGCGACCATTTTGTGTTGCAGTGCTGGATAAAGCAGCCAGTGGCAAGACACTGGCTTGCACATGTGTGTGGCTTTTGGCTGGGCCTTTGGTTGGCCCTTGTCCTGACAAGCTGCGACAGTCTACGTGACTCTTGGTTGAGCAGCCTTGTGAGGCTGGGAGCAACATGACCTTTGCATCACTATTCTCAAGGAACACTGTGCAAAAGAGACACAACTGACCATGTGTGCCATGTGCAGACCCACATGCCCCACAGATCATATTGGCCACAGCGACAGGCACTAAATCAAGATGCCCTAAAGATGACATCCTGCATCCTGGCATGGGAACAAACTTAGAATTTAAGTCTCAATTGTTCCATTCAGAGATATTCACCAAAATATGTGACAGATGGTTGAGAACTTGACTCAGCCACATCTGTGCTGTGGAGTTACTACTATTCAATCACACTGCATGATCCTTCACTAATTGGTTGTCTGGGGCAAAAAAGCACACAGCACAGCAATGCATGCACCACTACCCTGAACGCTCAAACCACCTACTAGTTCCTGGCTGCAGCACCCCATTCTTAACCACTGCCCAACACAAAGTTTTGATTGAATTGTAGGCCTCGATTTAGAGGCTAGTGACTGAGTTTTTGTAAATTACGGGAATCACAGGGACGGACAATGGGCATATCATTGTCTAGTTGTGCGGTGACATAGCCCTCAGTGGCTCACACACAATTAATGGCATTTCTTCATTATAAAAAAGCACTTGACAGGCTCAAATGCGCACTGTGCAGGCAAATGCAATTTAGCGCACTGATGAATGGCACAGGCACAAGCTCCTTGGAGCAAACAACAGCCACGGCCTCTTTTCCTCGATCCCAAATTCCACTTCAGCTTTTAGGATGCAGCCATCCCGTCCTTGTGTTTGCACCTTTCAATGCCAGTTTCCAGGTACCAACCAGGGCCCTGCGTTACCCCTTTTCCACAAATCCAGTTAATGAACAGCACTTCTGGTCTTTCTCAGGAAGACAAACTCGTCTCCACAGCCATCAACGCCATGAAGGTGTTATTCCCGTTGCTGCAATCCCTCTCTGGCCCCTTACAAAACGTTGCTTTGCACCTTCTATGTGATGCCAGACGCAGCACCATCCCACGCCCCATTATCCCAGCTAGCCCATTATCCCCGCCGGCCGTTTGCACAACGCCAACAACGGTAGAAAGAAAGAGAAGGCCGCAAGATCCTCTCGATCGCACATCCGCCGCGGCTCATTTCCGCAAATGCATCCAGAAAGATTTCCAGCTCCCCCAAGGTCTCCCCTGCCCTCCCCCCTCCCCCCACCTGTACTCCTTCTCGTCGAACACGTTCTCGTCCCCCGGGTTGTGCTGGCTCTCCGGCTTCACCACGATGTCCGCGTTCTCTGTCACCACCTCCTGCAACGAGTTCTCCAGGAACTCCTTGAAGGAGTCCAGCTGCTGGCGCACCAGGCCCTTGGAGTCGAAGAACGCGCTGATCACCGTCCAGGCGTCCTCCTGCGTGATCTCCTGCTCCTCGCCCGCCGTGTCCTCGTCGATCGCGTCGTCCATGAACATCCTGGCCGCGGCACCTCGCCCCAGGTGAGGGCGGCGTGAAAATGGCGGCCAAGGGCAGGTGCTTGGGGTGTCCAAAAAGGGCCTCGCGCGGCCAACGGCGCCCTTGAAGAGAGTCGACGAACCCCTTGCTGGCGCTGCGGGGATCCGGGTGCGGACACCAACAAGCCATGGCCGGGTGTTGGGGCCAAAGTACTGGAGGCAGGAGCGTGCGTCCTAATTCGGGACACCTGATTAGGAGTCGTCGATCGGTCCCTTGGGCTTTGCGCCGGGTTCGCCTTGCTGTAAGGTGTGCAAAAGAACAAAGAATGGGATAGGGCAAAGAGCACGAATCGCCCTGATCTGCGTGATAGCACCTGGATGATGTGCTATTCCACGTCTCACAGCTTCCGGTAGCAAAAGGGCCACATCTCTGCAGGAAGGGATGATAACCGGTGACCAACCAGTCGCGACGGGGTCGTGCACTACAATCCCGAATGTGATCTAGCGTTTTGGACAAATGCCTGGCCCAATAAACTTGTGTTTCTTTGCGCGTGTCAGAGCCTGGCGGCACATAATACTGGCAGGCGAACTTGCGAGCATCAAAATCCTCCCAGGCAGCTGTCCGGTTTTCAGAAGCTGCGTTGCCAGCCTTCAATTCGTTTTGCTTGACTCGCGAGTTTTGAACTGAATTGGAAATTGTCAGCAACGTGCAAGCAGCGGCACACTATGGTGCATTGCAAAGCCCGACTGATACTGTCCCGTGGGCAGAAGTGTACGCCAATTACTTTCAGCCTGATGAGAGGCTGTGAGACGACAATGCAGCATGGATGAGAAAGGCCCCAAGGCCCAAACACCGCCGGCGTCGATGGCCTCGGCAAGCCCGCTCTGCTACACCTGACACACCAAATTGCGGATTGTGGCCAGCGTGTGCCAATGTTGGGGACTCTTGAGGATTGGATGGCGACCAACGGCTTCCATCCTTTAAGCGCGTAGGCTGAAACACTGAATAGGGGGCCTTCACCGAATGCCGGTCACTCTGGTCAGTCCCGGCAGTTACAGCCAATTCACTGGTCATCACCCGGCAAGGTAGTCTTGGGTTTTTGGCTCCCTTTCCTCAAGAAATGATACATATCAAGTCAGGGAGGGAGCCGTATACGGAGCCTACGTAGGCTCCCGTCAGCTTCTGTTGGTGTACAGACCAGAATATAAGTGAGTACGCATGTAAGGAAAGTCAGCAAATAATGTGACAGCTACCTTGTGAACACTTTCGCGCTGATTAGTAGTTAGCCGCTGCTCATGTCTAAGAACCAGCAAGGATAGGAACGCAGCTTTTCGAGTCAACAACGCGAATTCACAAACTCAGGATTTGCGTGCTTGCTTTGATGGCATTGCCTGATCTGACCCTAGCTCCCTACGCTGACGTTGAGCGCTTTGCAACTCTTAAAAATGATCAAGAAACCTCTTCAAACAAATTTTTGCCCATTTCACCATCATCACGACGCTGTGAGGTGCTTTTCATCGCTTGATGAGTGGCTCTATGCTCAGTTATCTTTCTTGGATGCATGCCCGAGGGGCCTCTGGCGGCCCATCAAAACTCGCGCGATTCGGAGAGAAACCCAATTCAATTCGAGATGTGTATCTCATATGTAATTCAGAGTATTTGATGCGATCAAAATTTTTGCAAAAGTGTGGTGAGGATAACCACTGCTGAGCGAATGCACATTCTATGCATTAAGAATATGCTTGATAGCGCAGCATTTGTCGAAAGGCGTCGGAGCTGACACGGTCTATGAACTGATCGCAGAATATCTACAAAGATAAATCGGCATCAGGGATCGCAGTGCGCACTTCTCATCAGCGCTCTAACAACTGGCGCCAATAGCTAATTGCCCATATGGCAATGCTGTGGCAAACATAATGCTCTTGTGCACGGGACGGCGAAAATTGAAGCCATGTCGTGACATGGATGATCAGCAGTCGATAGTGTTCGAGCTATCTCAGTTGCCAATGCGGCTCGCTGAAGAACGCTTTTGCATGCCGGACTGTTCTCCTGTAAGCAAGCGAGCAGCAATTTTGCAGCCGAACTTGAAACTGGGATTTCGGCTAGCGCGCTAGATGTTGCAGGTGCCTGGGGGCACACTCCGCCGGCTGGACAAGCACAGGCTCTTCGTGAGTTTTGGGCTGCCATACGTACTTAGATATGCAGCGTTTAACGCCAGTTTTCAAATGGGGACTTTTGCCAAGCGCCTGTTCCATCCATTAACTCCACGCCTATTTCTAGCCCCGATCCTTGCCCACCCGGGCACCGCCCTTTACTCGTCACCGCCCAGAAACATCCAAATTGGTCAAGCCACTGTTGCTCTCGCTAACCTGGGCGCACCACAAGCTCTGCGCGTCAAAAATAAATAAAATAGCAATAAAACAACATATAATAGCAATACAATAACAACAAAAAAACCAAATTTCCAGCTAGTAAGAAGGATTCGGGATGTTTTATGTATGTTGAGGTAAATGTTCAAACGCAGAGCACCATTGAGCATGCATAGAACCGCTCCAATACATTAGCTTCATTTCGGTCACATGCACCATTGATCGATCAATGGTATCAAGGCGCCTGATAATGCTAAACAAGAGCAAAACAGACAGTAAAATCTGTTTTCGGTCGCCAAAGCGGCACCAGCAGCGCATGTGATGCGGCGCTTTCCCAAGAGCTGCAAAGCTCCGCGCTTGCACCTGCAAGGCGATACCGTATATGAGTCCGCGCACAGGACGTCGACGACCCCGAGATACGCCATCTTCAGCCACAGTCCAAGAATGCACGCACACGTGCACCACAAGGACAAATGGGAGACCTAACTCAGATCTACCTTAAAGTTTTGCCGTTAAGAGCTCTCGGGTGCTTTTCCTGTTTTAATACGGTGACATCTTCCACAAGTAAAAATTTGGCCAAAATACGCAGTTTCGGGCTGTGTAAAAATCGCGTAAAACCACTGCAAAGGTGTCAAAATCCCGTGCGTTCACTCAGTGATTACTACACCTTCTGCTTCCATTTTTGTACAATAAATACACGATTTCTACACGATTTGAAATCGTGTTGCACGGTACACAATTCCGAAACCGTGTATTTTGACCTGTTTTTAATTAGCGTTCGTGTGTATGTCATGCATGGCGAGTTTCTCAAAGTATCTTGCCGAGGTGCGGAGCAGACATGTCACCACATGATTCCCTTCATTTCCCAGCCTGTTTCTTCGTCCACAGACACAGGTGAAATCGCTCATGCATGCAATGTTTGTCGGATACAAATCAGCTTACACGTGCGCTGATGTTCAGAAATTCTAAAATGTCAGCGCCAAAGCCAACTCGATCCTGCCTTGGCGTCTCGCCTAGAAAGCACCGAAAAAGTGATGAGCACTTGCGGCCAAGTTCACATGCATATTTGTAGCATAGAAATTGTTAGATAATGTAAGCTTAGAATGGCACATGCAAATAGTATCATAACAATGGATTTTATAGCACTATCAACAAAGGCGCACCTATGCTGCCTTTTCTTGCATAGCTGTCCGCTGCAATTTGAAGCTATTGCGCCTCTTGTCGCATAGTCAAATCCTCTAAAAATCAAGCACAAAAATTCCTCCAAAGATCCTGTAAATGATGCCGCATATTACCTGAAAACGGTTGGTTCAGTAAATGCGCCAAAGCACATATTGCCATGCTTGATATTTGCGCCTGATTGGGTACTTGGCGCATTGTTTTCATAATTTGATACTGTTTCACGGGAAATTGATAGTATATACAATTCCAATATGTTATTATATTCTATAATTTGATCACTTCAATCCGAATGCTATTTTTCTACAAGCCCGGACATTTATTGCGCAGACTGCTTTCACAAATTATGATGCATCTATAGCAACGTACCACGGTCTCGGCTGCCGATATGGTCGTCTTGAAGAGCCCCGTGACGGACCCTACGCTGACTTTCCTCAACTGGTGGCCGGACTGAAATGCCTGCGAGTGCTTATCGGTGCCATCGAACGCCATGTGCACATTGGTAAGGCACCTGGGCAGGAAACATCCGGGTACGGCTGGGGCAAATGGTCACAAGATTCAACGCATGGAACATCTGAGCTGGAAACTTCCTTGAGAATGGTGGTGGATGAAAATAGTTACTTCGCTATGCTTATGTCCAGGTACATCGTTTAGTTTTACTTCACACGCTCTTTTCCTTTATACAGGAGAAAGAGCGGGTGAAGAATCAACTAAGCGATGAAAAGTACCATATGATTTATATATCTGTTACATGTTGTAGTATAGAATTTCGGGGGAACGACTCAAAATGATCTTTGCGAAATCTCCAGCGATCGGCCAACGGAGTGTGCTGCGTACTTTACAAGCAAAATTACATCATTTATTGCAATAGAGCGATTCCATTGTTGCACATCTGGCATCCTAGAACCCCGATCGAAAAAATTCTGATCCTCCATCTAATGGCATCTATGACAGTCATAAGCAATTGTCAGAGCTGACCTGTCGGAGTTAACAATGTCGCAGTCGTCGAGGCGATCTGCATGCCAGGCAAGTGGGGGTCAGACACCTGTGCAACAAAAATCGGGGTCTCGCCGTTTGTGCAGGCTTTCATGTCGAAGATGCCTCTATGAAATTTCCGGGAAATTCGAACCATTGTGCGGGGATTCGGATTGAACTGCCCAAAGATCGGTTCGCGCCCGATCCGATTTGGGCAGAACCTGCGTACCTGAGATCTGACCGAGCCCTCCGTTTGAATTTTGTTTCAGGGCAAATGCAAGTCACAAGCTGGCGTCTATTTTGTCTCAGCGGCCCACAGACAGCCTGCACTTTCCTCACAGTTCTGCGTCAGCTGCGAGAGCAGGCCCCGTATGTGCGAGTATGCGCTCAAGCGCAGAAAAGCTCCTTGGAACTATACCACTGTTCCAGCACTTCAAAAATGCGCAAAAATGGCCGAAATATGTTCCAACATGTTATAATTTCCGCTCGATGACACTAGCTCAACTCTGCCGAATGGATTCACCTGTGCAAGACTCCTGATTGCCATGGTCGAGGCACGTCGGGTTGGAGTCCCCGCCGCACTCACCGCATCCAAGGTTGTGCCACTGGAACTGCTGCAATTTTCCAAGTTCTGAAATCCGCAGGGGCCACCACACCAACCAGTCGGAATCCCCAAGCTGACAAGAGGCAGATTCAGCATTTAGATCGATTACTAATCGTCCCATTATCAATCGGTCTTCCTCTATGCGAACCGTACTAGCTAGAAAGAATAGACAGTGTGCGGCATTGTGATGTTGCCGTTTGTTTTGTTGTTGTTTGGAAGATGAAGAAAGTAACTTTGAAAATAGAAGATGGCAGCAGTGGAGATGGGAATGAGATGTGGCACTCTGGTAGGACAGTTAAGGGGAACTGCCATGCAAACATCATGCCGCTCCAGTGATTTGTGAATGTTCACAGCATAGCATTTGTTAGAGCACATTCAATTCTGATGACCGAATGTTCCACCAACGCCTAGGACCCACCGAATCTTGCAAGTAGAGCCAGGGACTTGACAACCTTGCCTCCATCTTGTGTCGTGCTGATATTTACTGCTGGTGAACGGTATGGGCCGCTGTCAGCAAAGCAGGGGCCGTAGATGTTAGGAAAGGAAAATCAAAGCGTGAAATCACCTGTTAAGAAGCCATTGCAATTTTTTCTCTTGCTGAAAAGATGAAGCAAAAGAGGCGAGCACAGACGGAAGGGCAAAGAGCAAAATTCAAAATAGTGTCGTTCCCAACAAATGCGCTTTTTGTACATGTGAAGGCCGGTTAGGCCACAGCTTGTTGTCATATTTGCACCATTGCTGCCTTTCATGGATCGCGCCTATCTTCTGGATTGGAAGTTGCTATTGCTTTCCCCTTCTTAAGAACTGTTGACGTACGTGGCGTGTCTCTGCAGCATCATGATCTGTTCAATTCACTCATGAGTGGATTACGCAAGATGCGACATCCCTTTTGCGTCGTTGCACGACCGAGGAGATGAATGCTTGTCAGGTTTGGATCCCAGCTGCTAGGAATATTCGGCGAGCTCATCGTGACCTCAGAGGTGAGGACTACGGTCCCTTGCCGGAACGGAAGTGCCTGACCATGAGGTGCAATCTTTTCCCCTTCTGTTTTGAATTCTGTTTTTGTGAAAAGTGGTATAAGCCTCAGTGTTTTCCTGTAGTTGTGCTAAATTGTCCTGAAAGGGTGTTTTTGTGCCAATTCCATCACTGGGTGGGCCCGCTGTGCGCAACTGGAAGCGCACCACCACCTCGGACCTGAAGGCCACGATTGAAACGAAGCCAGGATCTCCCTGTGTGGAGTTGAAGCGCACAGAGTTCAAGCCCTGTTTCGTTGTGACCATCACAGTCAGTTGGTCTGCCTTGACCCTGTAGAGGGCAACCGTGGCGTTGCTGTCGACCTGCAAATTCGAATTACACCCCACCGATTCAAAACGACGGCCACACTCCGTTGAACACGTGTTACGTTCCTCGAGAAGTGGAAGCTAATATTTATGTGATTATGCAATGTTCCATTGGAAACAGGGTGACGCTTCCTGGTCACATGTGACCTCTTAAGTATGAGCCTTACAAGGCAAGAAGAGTGCTATTTGTGAAGGGCGATCGCTTCCCTCCTTATTCCGAATCTGATGCAAAAAGGGGGTTGGGAGCAGCGCAGATGATTCGTCATGATGGCCGCGTATCGGACATCAGACCTCTGGCGGCAACAAATGCAGATTGGAAGACCAGACTTCGTGGAAACGGGCATGGCGTCGACCGCCCAGCATCTCAACCGGATGCCCAACCACACCACAGGGGCTAGGCAGGATGCTGCACAAGGAAAACAACCTAGCACCAGTGGCTGCCATGGATGGACGGCATCAAGTTGTTCCCCTTGCTAGGGAGGCGGCTTTCAACTGAGATTATATTAAGGGCCAGGATCCCACGCCCCTTGCTTTGCTCTTGGCGTGGCTACTCTGGGACTTGAATGCTCTTGTTTCCGCATCATCTGATGCAGGAGGCAGAAGAGGCTCACCACAAGCCCTGCTTTGGATGGGTTGCCCATTGTACGACAAGCATTCTATTGTTTTGCAAGGCCATCTTCACCAGCATTTGAATAGTGCAAAGTGATGCTGTCTTGATCCCAGCCCAGTGGAGACATATGTCTTGTCGTCCACGCTGCTGCAATGGATGCACTCATTCATTCACCAGCGTCTGGCGTGTGTCTGGGTCGCAAGGGTGCATCCCCTGGAAGTCGTCCCCCCAGTCGTCTCTTGTCCCGCCGGGCCAGTAGGCGAACCCCACCTGAAAGCCGTCATCCTGCGGGCGCCCACCCAAACCCCAAATCAGAATGCGCACAGCGTGGGGCGCACGGTGCAGAAAGCGGCAGTCGGGCTGCACCGAATTGTGCGGCTGTGGCGGTAGCAAACCAGCGGAATAGGGAGCGACACAAGGGCTGAAACTGGGACGTCCCTGCAGGGGACGTCAAGGTCTCCGACGACCTTGGTCGAATGCCCGCCATCTCGCGAGAGCGACGCCCAAGGGGACGCTGCCCGTCGCCGCCTTGAGCTGACGGGCAATGGAAGGGCGCATGGGTGCGGCGCCGATCGCGCGTCTGCGTCGCACCTTTTGCAGAGGGGGGGGCGTCCAGCACGGGTTCATGGACGCGGCGGCCGACGCGGCGGCGAGCAGGACGGGAACCAGGAACAGGGCGCCCAAGGGAGCCATGGCGTGGCTTTGCGGGGCAGGGGGGGCGGGAGCGCCCTGGGGGTCAGTCGGTTCGCGCGGCGCTTGGGGAGCACGGGCCAGGGCACGCGGGAGTGTGCAGGCGGGTGGGGCTGTGTGTGCGGGTGGGGTGGGGGGGATAACGATTTTCCAGAGATGCGGACCAAGTGCAGACAGACGCCTTTCCTAGTCGTTTGACCAAACAGCAGACACGGCACATCATTAGGGAAGAATAGAGACATCAGCGCAGAAACCTATTAGGCGTCGTTCGCAGATGCAGAAGTGCCCAACTCGAATCCTGTTGGGCGACAAAGGGTTTGGATTTCGCAGGATAAGAACTCACACAAGGCGGAAAACCATTTCATGGGAATTCTTCCTTGTCAAATTTTTATGCCTACAGCTCGCCAGGCGAGGAACTATGGGTTCCATTTCCACCTGGGTTGGCACGTTGAGTGCTAGTGCAGTACAGCATGCCAACGGTTTTCTTCCCCAAACGGTGACATCCACTGGGCTTGATAGATTTCCAGCCACATCGCGTTCCATCGTGCAACAACAAATGAATCGAGTCATCAAGTCTGGGTCCCTAACTCTTTGCAGTGTCAAGGAGTTCACAAACAGACCACCCGAACAATGCTATAGTAGGGAGACAACAACTACAGTCGTGGGTATCCTCATCCACTGTGTGGCAACACCCAGCCCATCAACGTACGAGATGCAACAGCCAACACATTTCTTAACCTTACCTGTACTCTGCACTTCTGCATTCACTGTTAGTTTCATTAGCATCTTGACCCACACATCTGGTCAATGACCTGACAGACTTGCCAACATTCGCCATCATACAATGCACAGTCGGATATTGCAATGTTTCCGGACACCGGTGCATAATGCTTCATAAATGAGCAAATATGCGTTCCTTCTATTGAGATTTCATGCAGCTTTGGTACTGCAGAGTACTTTGTCACAATTACATGCTGGTGCATCCTCAACATGTCCATCCCACAGAGTCTCATCCCTTAACTAGCGATTTGAAAACAAGCACAATGGCGGGAAAAGAGTGAATCCATGTGTGAGTGTGTGCTTCGTGTTCTGCATGTCCCAATCATTTGCCCATTGGCACTCTGCCCACGGTGCAGTCCATATGGCATCCAAGCTAAGAGAGCAACAGAAGGCATCCATTTGCTCTCATGTGAAAGATGCGCATTCCGGCAGGCGCCCAGGATGTGAATGCAATCAAGCTCCATGGACCACAACAGCGACCTTCCAACAAGAGGGCAGATGATTGACCAAGGGCAGGTAATGCATTGCCTCTAGATCAACAACTCCCCTCAATGGAAATACCCTTTACCATTCGTTCAAGTGCAAAACGGCATCAAAAGGCTACAACAAGGGAATCAACGGGCGATTTACTCGACTCCAGTGTTGGAAACATCGACCGCCATAACAGTCTACACACCTGCACCTCAATCGCCGCGGCATTCTCTTCCGGTCCCTGGTGCCTTCCCTGTCGCCGCCAGCGAGATTGCCATTCGACCCGCCACAAGCGGAGAACAACCTCAATCCCGAGCCCCCCTCACAGCACCCCACTGCGCCAAGGGGCACCAGCATGTTCCCAGCACGCAGACTTGAAAATCGCGGACTGATCAGCCCGCCAAACTGCCGGCAGCCGCCAATAAACCGCACGCTGCGATGCCAAAACTGCGCGCCTAACGCGGGGTCGACCGTTGGGGACGGGCCTGGGCGCCAAAAAGCACACCCACGAATGGCAGCACACCTATTTGTGTTGGTCGGGATGGTAAAGAGGATGTCTGACCGGGGATCGAACCGGGTACCTCTGGGTGGGGCGTCCCACTGCTCTACCAAACCACCTGGACCAGGGGCGGGAAGAGGGTAGCGCGACACCTTCAGCACCCCTCCATCCAACACTGTTTTGCCAGCAGGTTTGGGTGTCTCCAGCCTCTAACGCACTTTTTATGGCGAGCAGCACGGGAGCCACGTCGGATTATTGCCAGATACTTGCGCAGTTCTCCCCAGAAGCGGGCGGAAGCCTTGCCAGGCGCGGCTGCGGCGGCATGGCCGCCGAGTCGCAGATACCCCCCCTGGGCTTCAGGACGTACTGCGAGAGGAACCTCCACCTGGGTGAGGGCTCGCGCCGACGGGCGCGGCGATCGCGGCCTCGCAACGGCGCCGCCACAGCTGACGGGTTTGCCCTTCTGTGCGCGGCGTCGCAGTGCACTGCCCACCGGATGAAGCCGAGCGGTGGCTCAAGGTGGGAGATGCGCGCCTTGGAAGGGTGGGCGGCCCTGCGGCTATCGGGGGCGGTGGTTGGATCTTTGGAATGGGGATCTAAGGGGGGGGGAGGGCCGGATCCGCATCTTCAGTCTTCAGGGTTGATCGTGTGGACAGCCAGGTGGGAGCGTTGGGGTGACCATTGGGTCGTTCGCTGATTGGGGAGACGCGCGAGAGGGTCATTTTGATGGCCGAGGGCACGTCGGATGCGTTCCTGGTGCTCCAATGATCAAAATTGGGGACACTGATGGTTCTTTGGAATGAAAACGAGGACATGCTGTGCAACTGGAGCCCCTTTATTGAGCTCAGTATCTGGTGGATTTTTTTCCATAGCTATGCTTCCAAAGAAAAATGGAACATCGAGTTTTGTCTGTCAATTTGACATTACAGACGGTGCTTTGTGCTGTCAGAAACATGAGCAGGTGCCAGACATCCCCATGTCCAACGCGACCTGGCTTGCATCTCTTGGTGGAATGACACCAGTTGTGGAGGTGGCCCCACCTCTAGGTATGTTGAACCCGCTGGTCTGCATTCCACTGGCATTGTCCACTCCCTCCCCAATCCATTTAAAATATTGTAGGTGGGCCTGGATATCAATGCACACCCGGAAAGCCTAAATGCTTCCATGGAGCACAAAGAGGAGAAAATGCACTTGCTTGTCCTTGGGAGTCAGTGGGTTTCTTGTGCAGAATGGAAATGATGCACCCCTTGAACCATGCAGGACGATTGCGAGACATGCAATCGATGTTTGGTCAATGTTCCACGCCATTATTCTGCACACTGCCTCTGTTGATCTGCCTTTCAGAGATATTAAATAATCCTCAGTTCCCACAGCAAACTGCCGCTGCCAGATTACAGCAGCCACACTTTGTGGGTCTCTGCATGTGAAATCCAATCAAGGGGTCCTGCCTTCTTGGTACAAACAGATTTGCTAACGTCGATGTGAAGAGCAGTTGGGGCGCTTGCATCCAAAAATGTTGCCGGTTACATTGTTTTAATGTCGATGTCAGCAAGCTTGTTTGCATCCAGAAGTCTTTTTCTGTTGCACATCCTTGCACTTTATTCACTTGCCACCTGTCTGCATTGCACACCGGTAGTTCTCAAAGAAACAAAAGAAATATCGATGTCCAGAAGCCAATTGACGTGTTGGTGGTGCACAGATGAGGAATATGCAAGAGGACTAAATGGCCATGGACAGCTTCCACCATCAAATGACCTGTGAGGATGCTGAACCATTGGTGCATATCGATCCACTTTGCTCCCTGTGTGAACCCACAATTTGGATCCACCATTCTCGATTTCAAATTCTGCTTTTGCAAATCTTGTTACCAGGTGGAAGAGCACTGCCCTTGCACCAATGAAACAAAGAAAACCAGGCAGTGCTCTTTGTTTTTGTTTCAGACTGTGATGCACCATTTTGGAATGCAAGGAACAGGTGCTAGTTGTTCCAAACATTCCCATAACATGCAGATTGCCCTTTCAGGATGACACATCTCGAGTTGAGACAACAGTCATCAGAGAAAAAATGACCTCTCAGATGCAGAGCGAGTGCCTTTCAGTTTGTTAGCGCAGAACTGTAGTGCATTTACAGAAAGCTCTGCTGCCAGATCGGCATTTCTTGGTGCAAAGGCGCTATTAAGAAGGACCTCTGAGGAACTCCAGGCAGTGGTAGCTTTTATTGGCAGCTGCACAAGAAGGTCCATACACCATTATACTTCACATCAAGTACTAACTGTTGCTTGCCTGTTCAGCGATGGCCAGCCTTGGTGGCAACAGGTCTGGAGTGTGATGACCAGCAAGAACCTTTTTCAATGGCTTTGGAAGTGGTGGGTAGAGCAGGTAGCAGCTATTTGTGCTATACTCCGTTGCTGGATTTGAATCTGTTCTTCTGTACTTTGGGGCTTTGCAAGTTAGTGTATCCACTCCCCAAAGCCGAACTACTAAAATGATTTTGTGGTGTCAACAAAGTGCCTGCAGCACGCACTTTGCGAAAAATCACCACTTATTTGGCCGTGTCTATTGTAATGATGATGCTGATTTAAACTCTGCTGCTGTGGTTGTTGAAGCATTTGATTTTGGTTTGATTTTGTATAAAGAGCACTGGCTGCTGTCCTCACTGCCCAAGACAACAGTGTGCTGTGCTTGCGTCCACTGCCATTTCCTTTCATCTCTTATGTCCAAGTGGCTTGTGACGCACCCAGAATCAATCCCCCTTGTATCATCTGAGTTTTCAGTGCACATGCTTCCTGTAACAATAGCAGATGATACGATAGAGGCATGGAGAAAACTGCAATTTAAACGTTTAGTGTTGCTCATTGCAGTTCAGTTGGCACTGGGATATTTGATGAATGTGAGTGAAAGAGTGCACACAAGTTCACATGCCTGATGGTCCAACTTGGACACAGGACAAGATGGTATTTGAGGTACAATGCAATGCAAATGAGCGACGAGCTGCAGCAGATATGAAATTTTTACTTGCTGTGTGCCAGGTACAGTGGTAGCCCTCTTGAGGACATTCCACTGCAGAATCCCCTGAACCTCATCGCCTGGCACAGCACACAACCAGTTGTCGCAGTGGGAGCCGACGTTGACAGGGTGATTCTGTATCATCTGGCTGAAAACAGGTCAGACAGGAGCCTGGAGTGGACCTCCGTGGCCGTGCTGCAAGCGCAGCTGCAGCGCAAGGTGTGAATAACACAGGTGATGAGAGTTGCTGAAGCAGGGGGCATAAGACTTTGGGGAAACACTTTGGGTCCATCAACCCTGACCTTGCAATGGATCGAGCATTCTTCACTCAATTGTTTGGCAAAAGAACTCGCTTGGCACCCCCAGCCAATTTCTTGGCGATCGAAGTGCTTGTTCTTGCGTGTTGCCAGGCTTCTTGTTTGATGTCTTTGGTTGCATCTAAAGTGTTCAGTTCTGCATGCTGACAAGGACCTGATCCACTTGTTGCCACATTCAGGCCACTGTTGTGGGCTGACTTTGCTGCAGTCAGAAACTGTCACATCATCCCTGCACTGCAGCCCTCATCGTGGTGCTTTTTTGGACACACAGTGTTCAGCATAATTTGGTCTTTCTGTTGTGCATGGAGGTTGTGGATCAACCCAAGTGAGAAGATCCCAGGCCCTTCAATGTTAAGGCAGTTCCCATTCTGTAAACTGTGTCTCTTTTCTACGTTGTGTTATCGTGGCTGCACCTTGAACAAAACCACGATGTTAGGACCCCAAACCACGATCTTAGGACGTTGATTTTCTCTGTGCTCATATTTGCCAGCAAGATGCTGTTTGCCATAGCCTTTTGACAATGGGAATCCATCGACCTCGCAAGTAGTCCAGACATAGCCGATTGCCAAGTCAGTGTGGTCTTAGGGCCACGATCACAAGAATACAGAAGCTACATTGATCAAACACAACTAAATAGAATCTTGCAACGGAGTGTGCATCAAGTAGAACACCAACACTAAATGAGCATGTTTTCTAGTTGATTGCAATGGCGTAGCTGATTTGTGTGAGAAATGGCTAAACTCAGCAGTGCTTGATGTGTGGAATTGGAATGACCAGATTTGAAAACATTTTGGTCGATTGGGTGCTTTTCTCAACACAGTGAGTGACAGGATTCAGACAAAGGAGATGACTGATGCCTGCAAGTGAGGGTTAGGTTGCCACTCTGTTTTCCAGTTTGCAGACGTTTTCTCTTGTTTCACGGGGGCATTTTTGGGAGTTTCGTGGCAGCGGTGACCACCATTGGAGGCGCGTTTTTGGTTGCATAGGTGGGCCTGGATGTGCCCCTGCACACTGGATTCGTACACTAAATTGATCGATGCCTTGACATCATGTCGAGGCATCCATTTCAGGAAAACACAAACAACCAATACCAAAACGGCAATGTGCAATGGCTGGTATCCCAGTGAATGCAAACACTGGCACTGTATATTCCCAACAGATGGCATTTGAAAAGATAAGCTCTAAATGAATAGATAACAAATGCCAGCATCAAAGCCGCAAGAAGCAAGGGGCCAGGAGTGTATTCCAATATGGGATTGACACGTTGTGTGGCTTTTACCCAGCTATGCTGTGTGGCCTTCCGCCCTGGAGCTGGGAGCGACATCGCTGTGGGCTGCTCTGGGGGCGTCGCACTGTGGAGGAGTGCTCTGAACCCAAACTCCCGCATGCGGTTTCTTCAGGCCCCTGGCAGTGGCCCCATCGAGTGCCTGAGCTGGCACCCATCCGGCCGATTGCTTGCGGGTGCCGGCCCAGGTGCTGCGGGCTTCACTGTGTGGGACGCGTCTGTGTGTGTTGGCACAACGATCAGCCATGGGATGGAACGCATCCTTGTTATGAGCTGGTCACCATGCGGGAACTACTTCGTGACAGGTGAGTGGCGGCATTCACTTTCATTGCTGAGCTGAACTGGCATTTCCTTACATTCCTAGTGCGAGGATGTCAAGTCGAGTCTCACCTTGCATTACTTGTACACAACTGAAATAGACGAAGCTGTATATGGACACGATGGACCCCTCTTCGTTTTTCATGCCCAAACCCTCTAATCCAAGAAGAGTAACAAAGTCAAGTTTGAGGGCTTTTGCCAACATCTTACCAATGCTGTCTTTGCGCCTTTTCAGGCACTCAGGTGTGGAAATCAAACAATGCTGCCCAAGGATGTTTGTACGCATACCACAAAAGGATGATACATGTCCCAAAGTTTGATGACAGATGCAGTCCACACTGATTTACAGTGCATGGCAATGTGCTGCTCTTTCACCCACTGGCAGGCAACAGGTCCCCAGGCTAGTTTCCCTATATTGTTGTTTTTTATTTCCCTATTATCAAAAATTTTCCTTATTATTAGACTTTTTCCCATTATTAATTTTCCTATTATGTTTGTTGTTGTTGGATTGGCATTTGGGGGTCCAAATCCTGTGCCTGGTTATGAGGCACATGAGCACCTGCCCAGCATTTCGCGTAGCCCTTGTTTCGATTGCACATTTTGTAAGTAACCTGCTGTCTGAAAAGCAGTCTCATCAATGCTGCTTTTCTATGGCTTGTGCTGCACTTGGATTGGCAAGGCAAAGCGCCTTGCACCAAGCAGGAGATGTTGGCTGAAGCTGTTGCGCACCTTGCCTGATGCCTGTGTTCCTTCCTGTTGACAAGAAGCATACATTAGAAATGAAGGCTCACAAGTTGATCCTGCTTGCGGGACATCCACAACTGGACTTCTCCTCATTGCATTGTAACACCTAGTACTAACAGCCTGACACACAGGCAAGCCGGTGGCGGCTTCCACTGTGCGATACCCCCAGTGGGCTGCAACTCCTGACTGTACCGAAGCTTGAGTTTGAATGCATTGCAGGTGGTCCCACAAGTTGCTTCCACATGTGGGAGACACACAACTGGACATGCACCCAATGGGACACCAAGCAACAGGGGAGCCTGGTAGCAGCAGAGTGGGGCTCCGACTCGATGTTGCTGTTGGCCTTCAGTGCCACATCTGTGCTGTGGGCACTCACACTGGTGGCGCCGCCTCCCCTTTTGGACACAGAATGGTTCGAACTCAGTCCAAAGGAGCTTGCATCTCCCGAAGAAAGGTGATAGTGCTGTGCGCATAATCCTTGTTTGGCGCTGAGCTGCATTGATGTTCCATGCTCTATCCATGTGGCAGCAGGAGGTCATGTGTCACACCATTCACTCATCAATGCATCACACCCAGCCTCTCAACTTTCTGCAGCCCCAAGATCTCCACGATCCAAGAAAGCTGCCACCTGCATATATATAGCCGCCATTATCTCCATGCCACCATTACTCTGGGATCTCTGTATTGGTGGCCCCATTTTGGTGGCGTTTACAACCTACAGTCTTTCCAACCATGTTCACAGACCATTTTGTGTTCATTTGCAGTGCCTTTCCTCGGGTCCTTGCAGCCCGCAGTAGCTCAAGTTGTATTCACAACCCTTTTCTTCAGAGGCCATTGTCAATTCTTGCGAAAAATGATCTTGCCATGACATTTAACCCGAATTACCCTCCAAAACCTGCAAAAAACAACAGAACTCTTTGAGAAATGAGCAGAAAATCCCCAAGAACGACTTGTGGATGCTTGTGAAATATTGCTTGCCAATCCTCACAAACTGGCTGCTAAAACGTGCTTTCTTATAAAATCAATCATCGACCTTTTCATCGCAGCATTTTCATCCGCGATGCGATCGTATTCTTATGGCCTGTGTAGACAGTAATGTCACATTAGGTACACGTGTCACAAGTCGACAGGGTGGTGAAGAATGTCAGGGTCCTGGCGTTGCGTGCATGTTGAAATGCGCTTGTTCGTATGTCAGTTCAGGTGTACAGATTGTATGTCCACCACAGTTGTGTTCAGCTTGTAGCAATAAACGGTTTGTTGATGTGTTGCTCATTATCTGCAATTCGATGATCGAGCCGCAAATTTTCTTTTCTACAACTACAGAAAATCTGGTGCAAGCCAGGACTGTCTTGGTTAAATGGACATGCTTGGGTACTCACACATTCTTGTCAGACACTGTTTACACGGCTGCCCCAGCAGTTCCTATCTGGGGAATGTATGGTGATTGGCCAAATTTGGGGGTGAAGATGTTTATCCCTCATATCGATGTGCCACAGTGTGCTTGTGCAACTTCCGCACAGGCCTTAGCAAGGGGGTTATCACACAGCCGCCTGCTGAGCTTCGTTTTCAGATTCCTTGAATTTCCATTTGAATCAGGTGGCTCAGTGCCCATTGGCTTGCGCACAGCTGCACTTCATTGCCAATTATTATCACACAGGATGTGATATTATTGTTCTGTATTATAAAAACGCACATTGCTTCTGCAGCGAATGCTGACTTGGGAATCTATTCGCAAGCAACATGCACAAAGTCGCCATTCCCTCAAGTGAAGATAGTTTGTAGTACAGGTGTGCGTGTGTACCACTTACCAAGCTGGCAGAGACACCTCCAAAGCAAATTTACGAGTTTGTAGTCAGCGGTCAGGGGTAAAGACACATGCAAAGCAGAGCCCCCTGGTATCGTTATTGACGTCTGATAGGCAGCAGGTCACCCTCATTTTGCCTCTTTGTAGCTTCGCTCACTCGCAAACCAACCCAAGGTTGGTGCTTTGCCCAGTGCAGTTTTGTTGGACTTATTTCCGCCCTCCTGACTTGGGCCCCAAACTAAATGCCTGAGTCTGTCGCCCATGGGTGCCTCCCCTCACAGTCGATCTCCTATCCGTGGAGCAATGAGTGCCTCAAAGTGCATAGAGTCAATGGCATGGGACAGCAAACACAGGCGCCTGGTGGTAGCCCTGAAACAACCCCACCCCGCAGCAGGATGCATCGCTGTGTATGACACTACGGCGACACGGCGTTTGAATGCTGCATTCTTGGGATACGCCAGAGTGCTTGAAGTCCGCCCAGGCACAAGGTGCGGATGAAAGTTGGTGTTGGCATCTTTTCACGGTGGGAGTTTCCCTGCTTATGGCGTGTCACGAATTTGGTAGAACATGGAATACTGCTAGTTTGCACTTGGTCGCTCTCTGACTGACGAAGCGTGTCGGTATCATCTTCCTCTCTTTCTCATTGTTCTCTCCAGAACGCTTTGATGCCACGTTGCCACATCACTCCTTTCCGTGGCAGTTTTGTTGGAGTAAGTTTTCTGATCTGAATAAAACAAGCAAATGCCTTTGCTGTCGATATCTGCAAGCATTCAGCCACAACCAGGAGTGGCCAGCGCACCTGTGTGTGAAGGGTTGTGGATGCATGTTTGAACATGTGCAGCCCCTTTGACCGCGCCATCGCAGATGCGACGAATAGACGACACTCTCATATGCCCGGCTACCCAACGATCCCACAGAACGCAGAGCAGTTCTGCAGACATAACTACAGATGATTGCAAACGATTTTGGCAGTTGCAGTGCTTGCTGTCCTCAAAACAAACCGTCGCATCACCATGTTCTGGAGCTGATTACGAGCTTCACGGCCGCAGATAGTCCGCCCAAAGCACCAGATCCTTTCTGTCAGCATTATTGCGCGGACAATGCATGTGTGAGTGCCCGCCTCGCTCATTTCGCTTTGGTCGTTGAGATTCCATTATTGCAAGTCTTGCTGGGTACAGCGACCGCCCGAGCACCTTCCAGAACCTTCCCGATTGAATGCGAATAATCCTTCCTATCCGAATACGAACTAGCCAACCTATCCGAATACCGTATCGCTTGGTATGTCGATGTTACTATTCCATTAGTGTTTCATTAGTTTTCGCCAAAGATGTCGATGCAACTATTCCACAGCCAAACAGGATGTCTAAGAGATCCGTATTGACGCGAGACTCGCATCAAATGTGTGTTTGGTGTGGTGCGTCCTTGTAAGCGGCATGTCTTTGGGTCGTTGGCGAGCGCACTCGTGTAATGCACAGAACGCTGCTGGGCGGCTTGTCCAAATTTTTCCTGGTGAACCGAGGACGAAAGATTGTAGAGTTTGTGTGCACAACTCCTTCGAAGAAATAGGCATCTCGTTTCTCACATAACTTCCGCCAGTGCCCATGTCATTATTGGAATGGTTGAACCTTTGGACCAATATTCTCTAAATGCTTTGGGCTGATGTGGACGGAGAGTCCCAAGCGTTTTGCGAGCATGGCTCGGCGGGTCGAAGATATCTAAAACCAGACACAGTTGTTTTGACAGAAGGTTTGCAGACAAATTGCAGGAGCTTGTGGGCTAACAGCGTGCCAAAGCTAGTTGCTAGGCTGACGAATATCCGACGACCGTGTCACGCAGGAGATCCAGTGTAACAATGCATTGCCTAACCAAATCATGCAAGGGAAAGTTGGCACCATTGCTAGACCGCCTTTGTTCCTACAACGCAGGGATGGACACACATTTGGCAATTGACTATTACTGACACTAGTGTGTCGCTATTGCACCACGTGTTGAGACACAGTAAAGATCTTCCAATTTTTTAGACCCGTTTTCACCATTGTGAATTTGCAGGTTGCCCACATCCCTGCGCTTCCAACAGCACAGGTCTTCTGGCGCTCTTCTGGCGGTCCACTCAGACGACCAAGTGAGATTCTTGCTGTTGCAATTCGACAAGTGAAGGAGCCCTCTAGAAGGCGCCTGGCTCAAGGCCTCCGGGCGCAGTGTGAGGGTACCCGCAACAGAGTGGCGCAGAGGCGGCGCCGGTGGCACTGCCCTGAATTCGAATGCTAAAATTCCCTTTGAAAGGCAAAGACATTGGTTCCACTGGCTAAATGCCTATGGTGAATTAGCCTTTGGAAGGTGAAAGCTTCACTGGCGCTGGTGCAGACTTGTCCATTGACACACTGGTTCAATGGTTGGCTCAATGCGTGCTCAGACAGCGCCGTGTTGCTTCCGCCGCAATGCACAGCGTGTCGACAAGGGACCAGGTGATGCATCCTTGGCTCCGTTTAGGGCCCATGTGCGCCAGCCGCTGGAAAAGAACGGAAGCGGGGCGGATCACAGCAGCTTGCCTCAGGTTGCTGCGATTCTGGACATGATTGCGTGGGCAGCAGTGTGCAGGCCTTGAGCAAATCGCTGTGGTGGGGCGCTGCTCGTCGCCTTCCTGTTGGGCTTTGGCTGCTCTGCGCTTCTGTGCCGCTAACAGCTGCGGCTGGGAACGTCCTGGCAATCAATGGCTGTTTTAAATTGGCAACAGTTGCGGTGCGTGCACACCCAGACCTGGCCGAGGGTTGGGAAATGCAAATTTACTGGAATGTAAAAGTGAACTGGCTAGCTTGTGTGAAAGCCATGAGCTCCCTGTGTTTCATCATTCTGATTCCGTTTGGGCGCCATATCCATGGAGTGCATCGTGCAAAGTCTATTTCTTCTGTAATTTCAGTGTGGTTGCTTGCAAAAGGGGGGAAAACAAATGATACCAACGTTACTTTGCCTTCGTCAGAAGCGATTATTGCTCGCCACTTTCCAAGAGTTGCAGTGCTGCAAAGTCTAGTCGTCCCTAAAAGTTCTTGCTTTGTTCGATTATGTTGTTCATTCGCAAAGGCACAATATCGTGCGCACAATGTTGCACTCATAAATAATTGTACAACAGTATCTTACACACTCACAAGGTTTTAAACTCACCTAGCCAGGCATCCCACCTCCATGCCTGGCCCCCTCCTCCTAGTGAGGAGGGCCCGGCGCCCCCAAGGTTCCTAGCCCTTGGGCGACGCCACCGCACTTTGCGGACTCCTCACGAGGGTGCGACTACAACCCTCCCACCATCCCCGTCCGCATCTTCATGTCGCAGCGCCAACCTCGGCCAGGGCACCCTCTAGCGGGTGCCCCGTTTGGCCTCTTTGGCCGGCGCCTTCCCGTTTCTGTCTCTGTTTCGCTCCTTTGACTCGTTTGAGGCAGCCTTGAGTTTGAAATTTCCTGATTTTAGTGAGCCTGATGAGCCTGATGTGAGCTGTGAGCCGTGAGTGAGCTTTAGAAGGGAGTTTTGAAGCGAGCGAGCGGAGCGAGTTTGAGCGTGAGCCTCTTTCCGGAAGCGGAGAGCTTTGAGTTTTGATTTTGATGAGTTTTGATTTTGAGCCTTGATAGTGCGAAATTTTGATTAAGAGTTTGATAGTTGTCTTCTCTCTTAGATGCAGACAAAAAAATGTACACAGCCATCACCAAAACATTTCATTTCCCCGACATTGGTAAACATAGGCTCAGGAGCTTAGTTGGCAATTAAGAATGGATTGTTCATGCGACATTTGGAGGATGTGGGTGTCTGTGATAGCCCGCAAACATCTACATGAGCCTTGCTGGTAACCATCGGACGGCATTCGGAATGTTCTAGTATTAGGTGCAATTCATGTAAGCAAATCGCGATATCGCCTGTATGGTACCAATCGTGTGTTCAGATATTTTTCAAGTACAACGTTCACATAAAGTACAGCGCGGATGTGTTCAGCACATGTGCCCGAAAAGTGGCTGAGGAGATGTGATCCAAAGAACAAATCCCGAACAATTGCTGCTATTGGGAGTGCAAATGGATGATAGGTTGTTACCGTGACAACTAGTCATCGCAACGGGTGACGATGCATCGCGCTGCATTGTGAGATGAATGGTTCACAATGGCAATTAATGCATATCAAGCAAGTTTTCATAATGCTGCTTGCCGCCAAACTGTACCTCGACTGTGTGTGGCGTTTTATTTGCGGATCCATCGGGCAACTTGTGAAGAAACAAAGTGCAAAAGGTGCAGATACAAATGACTGCTCATGCCCGATCTTTGGATGAGCGCCAGCGGTCCACAGGCGGTGAGGCTCGATTTTCCCTGCCATCGCTATTGATGCGCTGGCAATAAATAAAAGCCGTTCTATTTGCATTTCTTTGGCTGGAACCACGATCAAACGATTCACATTTTATCATTCACTTCTGTTATGGCAAGCACTGCCACTAGGGCTAGAGGATCAGTCACATTTCTTTCCCAAACGGTACAAGGGAAAACATCAAAGACGTTCCGCGTGTTTGTCTTGGTGTATATGTGTGTGTGGGGTGTGTTGGCGTCCAAGGACACGGCAGAATGAAGATCGACAGGTGTGCTAACTGAGACACAAGAATTCAGCCAGTGGGGCTTCAAACGATCTGATTTCGGCTAATCTGGATGGTTCGGAAATGTTTTCATAATGGCGTATTGCGATTATGGCATTTATTCTTTCTTCGATCCAGTGCCGCCAACAATAGTTTGCTGCACATGTACACTCGGCGTCTATTGTATTTGGTGCGGAAGAAGCAACAAGTGCTCTAATGCGCATATTTACAAACGATTCAAAATATCATTGCTTTGTGTAGCTCTCAGGACCATGTTCTCAACCCTCTACGATACGCGCATTGCGCTCTCCATAATTTGTCTGTCTTCCCGCGCTGGATGTACAGTTCTCAATGCAGAATGGCCGTTAGGGTCGACGCCAGCAGGCCACAAGGCCTCCGAGTTCAGTGCTACAGTATCCGACCCACGCTGACCGCCAAAACCTCGTCGCCGCAGCCGCCGTGAGCGACTGGCGACCGAAATTTCCAAACGCGCTTCATCGAACTGAAAAACCTTCTCCCGCCCAAGCGTGCTTGATCGCGAGCAGACGAGAAGCGCGAAATCGCCAAGTCGCCCCTGCGCACCCTTGACCGTAGCTCGCCGGCCGCCTCTGCCTCAACTCCGCGCGCGCCCTTCTCTTAAACCTTCCCGCCGCCCGCCTGTTTGCATTGTTTCCACAGTGGTCATTTCCAATAGCCATGGGAGGGCGGCTGAAAAGCGCGGGGGGTAGGGTTGGTCAAGGAAACGCTCGTAGGCCGCAGGTGCCCCCAGGGGGCAGCTTCACGCACCGCACTTTGACGACCGGCCACGTGCTCAATGTTGTCCGCCTCAACAGCAGGACCTGCGTGGCACTCTGCGCAAGCACAACGGTTTTGGAGCAAACGGGAAGAGAGGGGGAGATAGCGGCAAACACGAGTGGCTGGCACGGTCGGCCGGAATTTATAGGCCCTTTGGGGGGAAAACCGATTTTTTCACATGAAAACGGCAAAAACACACAGTTGCATCACCTCGATCAGAAGCGTGATTGTCGAGTCACGTGATCTCTTGAGCTCAAGCATCAAACAAAAAACACGTCGCTCTAATTTCAGCATTCTTCCAACGCGGCAACATCGGGCGCACATTCTCCCTCATGGCTCTTTTACTTGCTGCCAGTGCACGCACTCATTGCCAAGGGCTCGGGCAAGTCCGCAAATTTCGTCTATTGGATGCTGAACGAAGCGCGTCCTTGGCGCGGCCGTGCTGGTGAAACGCAGGACCAACGTCGTCATGTCATAATCGTCCACCAAGAGCAGCAGCATCCGTCGGTCCGGACAACGCCATATGGTGACATGGGGAGCATGCGAGTTGGATCTGACGAGGGGGCCCCTCCACGCTGCCTGTGTGGCGATTGTTGCCACCTTCAGCTTACCCAACTTTTCGTCATCAATCTGGGTTTGGTCGTCGAACGTCTACGGAATGCCCGCCAGCGTCGAGCTCGGCATCGATCGCCGTTCGGAACTACCTTGAAAACTATGCCACACTTCCAGATCAGAATATTCTATGGTTATGCTGCTTCCTCCCCATTTGGTTTTCAGAGCTTTGTTTTAACTTTTATTAGTTACTAGTTATGAGTTATTTCCTTTTAGTTATGAGTTATTTCCGGCTGCAGGCCATCCTTTTTGTGCGTGCTTTGGCGCGCTTCAAACGGTGTCGCTGACGGCTACCTGGTCAGTGGCTTCAACGTCTTGCGCCGTCAATGCTGTCATTTGCACTATATTGCTGTACAGTGTCAATGAGATATACCTCGCGACGGCCGAGGACTCCGCCTTCGCGATTCCCCAAGGGTAGTACTTCCAAGAACATCACAGCGAAGAATACCCATCGTTTGATGAAACTCGACTAGCCTGCACATAGTGACAAGCAAATTGCACGTGTCACACCATTTTACTACATGTCCACATCTTGCTCAATTGGTGGAATCGTCCACTGGAAATGTAGACAGCATTGGAAACGGACCAAACCACGTGATCTCAACCCTGTTTACTACGCCCGTTCCACCTGTGACATGAGCGCCTGGCGCACTACGTAGCAACACATACAGCAGTTCATTGGCGCTGTACATGTGCCATGACAACGTCTGGAAAATTGCAGTGAGTCATTGAAGTCACTGTTCAGGCGGCACCCCCTACCCCAAAGTGGGATTAGTCTCCCTTTTTCCTGTGCACTTTCCACGTTAGTGCACCCATCTATATGTTGCGTCTCCCTGCTTTTGTCTATAACCTATAACGTACCCAAACAAGGAGCAGGACGCCATTTTGTCAGTACATTGGGCCCTGCTGTCCGAGACTGCTGGGCTTTGGCATCCTGGGTCGCCCTCGCTCGCAGAGCAGCGATGAACGCCGCGCAGGTGCTGGACGACGAGGTCCTGGCGGCGTACAGGCGTCTCGTGCAGCCGCACGTCGAGTCGTTCAATTGCTTTCTGCGGGAGGGGCTGAGCAGCGTGGTGGAGGGGGTGCGGCCGGTGGAGGTGCGGGGCGGCGCAAGGCAGGGATTTGTGGGATTTGCGGCAGTGCGGTGTT